TCTGCAGAAGACATGGTTCCACTGGATGGAGTTCGTGGAAGTTTTCGGTGAAAGTCTCCTAAAAGAGAATTCATTGCAGAATTTAAGAAATGGGTAATGACACGTTTTTTGAATAACACAAGTCACAGTATCTTATTAGCTACAATGTAAATATTTGCTTCCATTCACAGACTGTGGATACAGGGAAATCTGATACTTACTCCTGGGAACAAAAGAGAACTGAACCAAATCTGCCTTTTCCAAATAAACTTAGAATTGAGGATCACATGTTCAAATGAGAACTTGCTGTCAATTTCCGACAGTAACTGCCGGGATTATAAACTCCACAAGGACAGGGAGTACTACCTATCCAAGTCTGACGGCTAACGTCTGCCAGAGCGGCTGGCACAGTGGTAAAGCTGTCATCAAATACTCGTTAAGTTAAGTGATAAAGCAACATACACAATGTAACCTAAAGCTCTCTAAAATATACAAAGATCTATGAATACAGCAGTGTGACAGTGCTGTCACCTTTATGTGGCCGGTAAGACAGGAGACTGGGCACCAGGGGCAACGATCTCTGGCAGGGAGCTGGGGGCACAGGACACATGCCGTCAGCCAAGGGCTCTGCCGCGTGTCTCAGAGCACGTTCAGCAGCAGCCCGACCAGGTGAGGAGGTGTCTTTGCTCCCTGCTGGTATCGCTAACAGGGCTGTGTCTCAGTTGGGGACTTCACCTAACTCAAGGCCTTTAACAGTCTTAGGTGCCGAGTTAGAAAGGGCTTTGCAAACTATTGAAACCACAGCCTCTCTCCCCAAAGACTCCCAGCTTTCCACCTATTCTTAAAAAGTGGTCTAGTTTTTTTTTTAATCTGTAACTTGTCTTTTTACATATCAATATATCATGACAATCCTTTCCTTTCCACAGACATTGTCTGCAGTGTCATTTGTAATAGCTGTCTGATTAGTTCACTTACTTTACCATAGTTAATTCAGCCCCATTTGCTTAGCATTCAGGTTGTTTATGATTTTCAGTTGCACTAAACATCTTTGTAGCTAAATCTCTGGCACGCTGGTATAACCATTTTTAAAGAATATATCCATTTTTAAGGCTTTTTAAACTTCTTTCAGTGTTTGCCAAAAGATGATGGAAGAGCCATATTTCCCCACCACTCTGCCAACTCTGGAAATTATAACTAAGGAAAAAATTTTTCCTAATTTGTAAGCAAAAAAGATTTCTCACTATGGCTTTAACTTGCACTTCTTCGTTTACTAGATGAAATTGATTTTTTAAAATGTGTTTTAGGCCAACACACCTTTTTCTTTTGTGAGGTGCCTGATCAGGCACGCTGCCTACTCTTCCATGTTGTCTTTTTTTTTTTAACAGTGGTCATCTAGTTTTTGTTTTGAATGTGTCCTTGATGACTAAGAAGTCATGAGGCTACGTGTTCATTTTAGAATGACTTCTTCATATTACTGAGTAGAAACCTGTCGCCTATAAATTCCAGCCCTTGGTCACATTTCTCCTGAAGGACTCTAACTCTATTCCCCTTGTATTTCCAGTGTCTGAGGACAGGTTGCCGTGTCCTCAAGTTTCCGTTTTCCAGGTTATGCCTCCCTGGGTCTTCACCCATTTGTTATGTGACCAGTTTCAAAGTTTTTGTCTTTATCACACTGAAGTGTTACAGGTTTCCAAATAATTCAGAGCTAAGGCCTTGGACTTCAAGGTAGGCTAAATCCTATAACATATCTGCCCCAGTACCAAGATCCCAGGAGAAAGAAACACAGCCAGGAAAAGCAGGACTGGAGCAGTCTTCGGAAGGAGAGTGAAGGAGAAAGGACATCGAAAGTAAATAGCCTCAAGGGTTCAAGAGATGCCTTCCCCTCCTGCCAGCTGTGTTACCTCTGGCAAGTTATTCTGTTTGAAGCCACTAAGAGAGTGTTCAAAACATCCATTCTGCCTCCCGAAGGAGCACGAGACTATCTTTACCAAAGTTCCTTAAAGTACATTTATAAAAAATGAGTAAGTTAGTACCAGCACAAGAACTGGTGCCATCTGTACTGCTCACTAGGGCACTTAACTGCAGAACAGCCCAAAGACAGGTAAGGACAGTTACGTTTACAGAACAGTCTACAGAGTGTCGTATAAAATAAAGACGGCTTCTCACATCAATGTGGATCTCAAAAAAAACTGCATGAAAGAAGTCACAAAGAATAGTATGATTCCATCTGAATAATATTCTGAAGAGGGCAAAGGTCAACTAGACACGAGTACTGAAACATTTAAAATCGCTA